GCAGCTCCTGGCCTGTGCCCTCACCTTGTCCAGCAAGGTGAAACAAACCCGCTGTGGATACTCGTTGTCTGCGATCACCACTCCAGCCAGCCCATCGTTCCGGACGTACACGTGGCACAGGTACTCTGGGAAGGAAATCCCTGTCACAGAGGCAGCAAAGGTCCCGAGCCCTCCCCAGCACCCACCACCGTCCACCCAACCCCACAGCTTCCCCCTTCCCCCCAGAACACCCTGGAAGGTGTCATTAGCACCTACATTTCTCATGATTTCATTAGGAAAGCAGGAAGGGCTCAACATTTGGGGCTCAGCCTTAAATTGTGCTGTGGTAGGTGACCACACCCAGGCCATGTGGTGTGGGACAGGACACCGATGTCCCAGGGCAGCCACAAGTAAACAAAAACTAGTGAGGCACTGAGTCTGACTTTTAATTTAATTAATAACAAGGCTGAAGTGCCATTAAAGAGGCTTCAGCAGCCAAATCCAGGCCGCACCCCACGCGTCCTGGGGTTCCAGAGGCATGTGGAGCGGGGCAGGGAGACTGGAATGTGGTGAGAATTTGGAACAGGGAGTGCAGACTTGCACAGTAAAGCTGACACAGCCATCCCCCAGGGGGCCCTGGGAAGCTGCCAGCAGGGGGGCTGCAGTCCAACAGCTCCAGGGGTCCCAAGGGAGGTAGGGAGAGCACAGACAGTAGCAGCAGGTCCCTGCACCCCCTGGAACCTCTCCTAGGCTGGGCTGGGCTCGCATTCGGCTCAGCACCTCATGCCCTCAGTGCTGCTCACCCAGACAGTGGTGGTGGTGTGAATATTCCCAGACACGGGGCGGGCAGGGGGCGGGCACAGGGCGGGCACAGGGGCTGCTCTCACCTTGCTCCTTGACAGAGGCCCTGCTGCCCAGCGCCGAGCGCTCCGCAATCAGCTGGCTCGTGAAGGTCATGAACTCCTGCACACTGTGGGGACAGAGCACCAGGATGGGTCAGTGATGGCAGATCATCTGTCCCACAGCTCCCTGGTGCGTGCGGGAACTGAAACCCTTCCCCACGAGCCCCCCAGTGTCTGGATAGTGGGGCTGTGGCTGAGCAGAGGATTTTACTTTGAGAAAAGGCTGGACCCTGCACCTATGCAGAGTGGCAGCCCCCAGACAAAGATCCCCAGCCACCACCCAGACCCCTCCGGATCCTCCCCAGACCCAGGGGAGCACCCAGATCCCTCCAGCTGTAGTGACAGACTTGTGTCCTTGGGCTGAACTTGCTTTATGGGGATTTAGCAGAAAGTAAAAATGCTATTGAACCCGGATCTGTCCAGCCAACACCTGGTGAGCAACTGCATCACGGCAATCATGGAATGTTTTGGGTTGGACTGGACCTTAAAGACTATCCAGTCCCACTCCCTTGCCATTCCACTAGAATCAAAGAATATGCTGAGTTGGAAGGGATCCATCAGGATCATCACATCCAACTCCTGTCCCTGCACAGACACCCCAACAATCCCACCATGTGCCTGACAGTATTGTCCAAATGCTTCTTGAGCTCTGGCAGCCTTGGGGCCGTGACCACTGCCCTGGGGAGCCTGTTCAGTGCCCAACCACCCTGTGGGGGAAGAGCCTTGTCCTGAGATCCAACCTAAACCTCCTCTGACTCAGCTCCAGCCATTCCCTCGGGTCCTGTCACTGGTCACAAGAGTGAAGAGACCAGTACCTGCCCCTCTGCTGCCCCTCAGGAGGATGCTGAAGACCCCAGTGAGGTCTGACCTCAGTCTCCTCTTCTCCACGCTGAAGAAGGCCCTCATAAGGTCCATCCAGACCTTCCTCATTCTTGTGGCCTCCTTTGGACACTCTCTAATGGCTTCATATCTTCTTTATATTGCAGTACCCCAAACTGCCCCAATATTGCAGGGGGTCAGAGCAGAGCAGGACAATCCCCTCCCTGGCCCAGCCAGCGATGCTGGGCCTGATGCCCCCAGGACACGTTGGCCCTCCTGGCTGCCAGGGCACTGCTGACTCAGGAACAACTGGTCATGGACCAGGACCCCCAGGGCCCTTCCTGCAGCTGCTCTCCAGCCTCTCATCCCCAGCCCACACACACAGCCAGGGCTGCCCCGGCCCAGGGGCAGAATCTGGCCCAGCCCAGACACTGACTGGACACCGGCTCCGTGGAGACTCCAGACCATCGAGGTCTTGGGTGCTGCAGAGAAAAGTCAAGCCCAAAGATTACTGAACATCCAGCTTCGGCAGAGAGGGAAGATGGACACCTTCCTCCTGGTCTGGGGATCTGCTGGCAGCCACAGCTCCCACCACTGTAATCCCAGAGTTTCATATTTAGGTTGGGAAAGACATTTAAGACCACTGAGTCCAACTGTCTGACATTTCTATGTGTATCTTCCAATGCATATCTTCCTCAAGAAAGACATCTCTTCCATTGGGAATACTGGTTTTATTTCCCAGTATTCCTGGAGGAACTGCCCACCGAAGACTTCATTCCGCCCTACTGACCCTGCCAAACTCCTTGGCAGACGTTCAGCAGGTGTGAAGCACCGGCACAGCCTGGGCCTGTGCTCCTGCCCAGCAGGTTCCACAGCTCCCAGGAGCCACAGCCCTGCTTATCCCAGATCCAACCCCTCAACCCAACTCCACAGCCTCAAAAAAGTATGGATATGTGGCATTTTAGCCCAAACTTCAGTTAAACACACCTTTAACATCAAACCTGGCCAAGCTCTCACAGCCCCTCCGAGCATCATCTGGGAATCAGCCCAGGACAAGCATCGAACCCCAGGAACAGCTGCTAGACCATCCCCCTCCTCAAACCCCTTCACTCTTCCCAAATTCCAAGACTTTTCTTTGAGCAAGGGAGCAGCCTGCTGCTGGGGCAGCTGACAGCAAAACCACACTGGGAGCTTTCTCAGGATTTGGGAAAACAAGAGCTGCAGCAACATTTGGGATCAGAGCTGACATCAGGTGCTGGCACTGCTCCACATCCCACTCACACATTTGACCAAGAAAGAGCTTTTTAAGACAATCTTAGTTCAGTCTTTCCCCTTTATCCTTGGAACTGCAGAACCAAATGTGCCTGAGGTTCCATTAAACCCTGGCATGGAAAATCTGGGTCCCAGAAGAATTTCCTAACTCCTTCACCATCTGGAGTGTGCACTGGGAAGGACCTGTTCATTCCTGCTTTGTTTTACAGCTCCAGGAGGTCCTGGCTGCCAAGAGGACCCTCTGTGTGCCCAGAGGGAACAGTGGGACACCAGGAGCCTAGATCAGTGTTGGGGGCTAAAGCAGCTCACCTGAAGCTATTGGAAGAACCTGAGCGGAGGTCTGTGGGCTGGGAAAAGCTTCAAATGAGGCCAAACCCCTCCCTAAAGGTACAAGGGTGCAGGTGAGCCCGCCCAGCCTGGCACAGTCCAGCCATCCCACCCCTGGGGTGATGCCTGCTCCCTGATTTCCTCACTGGTCTGCAGCGGAGGGTTTGTGGGGTCAGACTTGCCCTGTGTCCCTGGCCAGGGTGGCTCTGGGGGCTTCACTGCACCCCCAAGGTCGACCCCTCACCCCAAGTGCTGACAGCAGGTCCCAGCTCCCCAGGGAGCAACTCCAGAGGGCTTATCCCTCAGGAAAAGCCTGTCACCGCTGCCCCCGCAGCCCCAGCTGGGCAGAAAACCTCCCAAAGGCTTCTGCTCCCCCAGCAGGGTCCTGCCCGAGCCACATGCCAGGGCCAATCCTCTCTCCTCAAACCCCTTGCAGAGGCTCCAGCCTCCTAGTACCCACCTGGACCTCTGGAAGAAGTTGAAGGTGGACACGTCATAGGCAGCTTTGAGCAAATGCACTTTGGGGTCACCCTTGTAAAGGACACTTAGGCTGTAGAGCCTCATGGTGGCAGCTCCCGGGCCTGGGGGAGAGGGAAGGGTCGGAGCTGGGACCAGGGGGGCACTGGGACCCCCCAGACCTTCCTGGACCCCCTACCCAAATCTCCCACCCTCCATCCTTTAAATGTCTCCAGGCAATCTGAACCCCCAACCCCTCACGAGCCCCCTCTGACCCCCCGCCCCGACCCCCAGCCCCAGCAGGGCCCCCGCCCAGGCCTAACCACACCCTGCCCCCCCAGTACAAGCCAGCCCAGCCTTCCCAGCTGGCCCAGTATAACCCAGCCCCCAGTATAACCCAGTACAGCCTAGTCCCCCACTGCTATAACCCAATAAAATGCCAGCCACTCCACCCAGTATAACCCAGTGCAGCCCAGCCCCCGGCCCCCAGTATAACCCAGCCAGCCCAGTTCCCCTCCGTACAGTCCAGTCACCCCCAATACAGCCCAGTACAGTCCAGTCACCCCCAGTATGGCCCAGTACGGCCCAGTCCCCGCCAATACAGTCCAGTCACTCCCAGTACGGCCCAGTACAGTTCAGTCACCCCCAGTACGGCCCAGTCACCCCCAGTATGGCCCAGTACGGCCCAGTCCCCCCCAGTACAGCCCCACATGGCCCCCCGGGCCGCCCACCCGGCCCAGTACCGACGCTCCGGTCGCGGCTCAGCTCAGGCGGCGGCCGAACGGGGGCGATGGGCGTGACCCGGAAGTGGAACTGCGGCGACCGGAAGTGCACCGGCCCCGGGCGCTGCCACGGGGGCTCCTCCCGCCCTGCGCACGCGCCGATCTTGCCCCGGCCCCTCAGCTTCCCGGCCAATCAGCGCCCGCCTCCTCCCTCCCGGCCTCGGCCGGGCGGCAAATCCGAGCCGCTCCGCGGGCGGCCGGCAGGGGGCGCTGTGCGGAGGGCGGAGGGGGCCCGGGGGACCCTCGGGGGGCGGCCCCGGCCCGGCCCGGCCCGGCCCCGGGACTCTGCAGGGTGGGGACCTCTCGTGCTCCTCCTCGGCCCCGGGTGGGACCCGCCGTGCGCTGGGGACCCCGCCGCGGTGGCGGGACCCCTCTCTGGGCAGGCCGCAGCGCTGGGGTGGGGCTACCTGAGCCCTCCCGTGCCCCCAGGTATCCTCTGCGCAGGGGCAGGGGAGGTGCTGTGGGGTGTGTGTCCCGCCGGGCCCTGCCGTGATGCCCCTAAACCCTCTGCCTTCCCCAGAGCCCCCTCGTTCCCCCACGGAACTGGCACGCCTGGCACACCACCCCCCCCGGGCTCCCCGGGGACCCTTCCCAGCTCTGTGTCCGAGGGGATGCTGCCACGGACCGATGCCAGGAGGTTTTTGGGGTGCACCCGTGACTGGGGGTGTTCCTGATCCCATTGGGACCCCATAGGCCCCCGTTGCCCCAACACTGGGTTGACGACACGGCTCTGGGGGTGTCGCCACATCCCCGTCCCCAAATCCAGGGCCCGTTCCCAATCCGTTGTGACGCTCGGTGTCAATCCCAGCGCCCTCGGAGCCTTTCCCATCCTGGGGGCACAGAGCACTTCCCAGTCACCCTCGCCCCTGTGCTGTGTGCCCGGTCTCCATGGGAGCGTGCCCGTTGCCAAGCGGGCCGGTGGAGTGCTTGCCACCGCCATCGAGCCGTTGGTATGACAACGGGGACACGGGTGACCCGGGGCGTGGTGCTTCGCGTGACGGGGGACGGTCCCGGTCTCGCCTCGCCAACGCACCGGGGCGTCCCCGTGGGCTGCGGGAACCCACCGCGCCGGGCTGGGCCCCTGCACCCTCACCGGCCCAGGGATTTATCGAGGGAGCGAGAGAGCGAGTGGGACAGCGTGAGCCGAACCCCCGGAGCAGAGGATGTGGGGTGACAGGGCTGAGCCCGCTGGGGCGCCGGGCCCCGCTCCTCACCCCTCCGCTTGAGGCCTGAGGGGACCGGGACCCCCTCGGCGTGCACTGCACTGGGGCGTCAGATGAGATAACGCAGCGAAAGTGGAGCATCCACGTACAGAGCGAGGGACGGAGCTGCCCAGCGCCCGCCGGCCACCCTCAGGGACGGGGCAGGGGGCTCCCCCAGGCCAGGCACCGCGGTGGGGGGCACAGGGGCTGAGGGGGGCACGGCTTGGCCCGCAGCCCACCCCACCCCGCCGGCTGCCCCCATGCTGGATCACCGAGCCAGGATGGAGAGCAGCAGGAAGGAGAAGGTGAGGCTTCTGCAGGGGTGATGCCAGGGGGTCGAGAAGGACAGGCTGGGGGGCACCCAGGGGGTTTGGGGAGCAGTGTGGATCCTCACAGGGGGTTCTTGCCTTCCCTGGAGCGAGTGGCCAGGTGCTCCTGGCATCTCCCGAGTTTCCAACAGAGGTAGCTGGGAGGATGGCTGGCGGGGAGGACACCAGCTCCTGGGCAGCCTGGGGGCAGCCTGACATGTCCAGGGAGTGTCCTGTCCCTGAGGTCACCCCCCCAGCATAGCACAGGCCCCACAGCACTGAGGGCTTGTGATGGAGCTGAGAGCATTCGTGGGATGCTCTGCTGGGCTGGGATGCTCCCACCATCTTGGCATTGCCCTGGGCATCTTTTGGCCGCAAGGCTGCATCTCTGGGATGAGATGGGGCTCATCACCTCCTTTGGCTGGTTGTCACTGTTGTCACTGTTGTCACTGAGATTCTCAGCAGGATGGCACATGGCTCATCCCCAGTCAAACACTGGTTGTTTGTGGGAAGCTGCTCCCATCTCTTCTCCAGATGGACTGAGCTCACAGGGCCATGCGTGAGGACAGTGGAGACTTTCCCTGCTGCCAGCTGGGACATGGAGGGGACACAATATATGCTGGGTGTAGCCGGCCACCACAGCCAGCAGCCATGTGGTTCCCAGCTCCATCCCCTTTGTGGGTTGCACTGGACCACACTGTTTCCATGGGAAGCTGAGAGCCGGATTCCGTCACATGAGAAGAGCCAAATCCAGCCAGGGAAGAGCCAAAACTGTTGTTTTGGAGGCGAGAGAAGGAATGAGTAGGGACACATGGTGGTGAGATGGAGAAATAAAATTTGGACCCTCGGGTGCCAGCCCTGGGACAGGGACCCTCCACCTGCGGCAGATCCAGCATTCCCACAGGTGATTAGCGCCGAATACCTTCAGCCAATGATCCAGGCAAGATGGTTGAATGCAGCTCCGTGCTTTTCCTGGCAGGATTTTTTCAATCATCCCAGGCTGAACATCTTCCAGATCATGCCGGACCTCACCGTAGTGCTACCTTGGGTGACTGGCCCCATTCCGGGGTGTCCGGCAGCATCCCCCAGCCCAGAGGGGTCCATGCTGCAGCCACATCTCTTGGGCTCCTGTCTCCTGGCACCTGGGGGTCCAAGAATAATTAAGCCCCCAGGGTTCAGCACCAGGATAGAGGGGGAGGTGAAGGGATCCCACTCAGCTGTGGATGGTGGCTGAGGCCACAGGAGCCCTGCAGGGCCTTGGAGATATTTGGGCTGAGCCCTCACTTGGGGGTCTGGAGGCTGAGGGACAGCATTGAGGGTCATGTTACGAGGAGTGGTCCTGATGTTAGGATGCTCCAAACCACACCCCAAACCCTTTACTGAGCTCCCCACCCCAAAACCTGTTGGGAAACAGCAGCAGCCTCAAGGCAAACATCTGTCTGCTGGCCAGAGCAGGAGTGGGAGCGTTGGAGCCTGCCCAGAGCCCGGTGACTAATGAGCCCTAATGCTGTGGCTGCAGCTGGTGGAGCGAGCACCGACTCTGGCTCCATCTGACAGCCGGGGGCCTGGCCCCAGCCCTGCTGCCTAATGGAGGCTGCGCCGAGCCCGGGGTTGCTACGGAAAGGATAAACACAGGTCCTGCCTGCCAGGTGCCTCCCTGGAGTGGGCCCTGCAGCTCTACCTGGCAGCGAGGCAAGGATTCCTGAGAATCTTCCTGCCCACCTGCCCTCTGCCCCAAATTTGGTGGGTGGAAAATTGTACCTGTGATTCCTGGTAGGATACAGGGAGAGGGATGTTCCCAGGGGAACAAGGAAGACACCAGCATCTTCATCATGGAAGAGTCCTACATCCTTGGTGGGAGATGCTGTGCTTCTCAGTGGCATGGCTGGAGACACTCCTTGGTGGGAATGGCCCTGGGATTCATCAGGATGGAATGTCCCAGGGCAGTGGTTGAAGTCCTGCTGGAGTGATGCTGGCTTCTACACAACCATCCAAACAAATCAACTTGCTGATGGGGACGGCACAGGGACCCCAGTGCCAACCACGATGTTCTGCAGGCAGCACTGGGAGGGGATGTGGGGCCTCATGCCAGTCCTATGGATTCCCTGGTGCATATGTTCACCTGAAGGAAGTAGAGCAGTGGGATAAGGCATTTTGGGGGGTCCATGAGCCGATGGGGAAAACCAGGGTCGAGGGAAGGGAAACGTGGTTATTTCTTGCAGTTCAGGCCCCTGCACCCCGTGTCCTCCAGCCCTGGCTGATGCTATGTCCCACGCAGGTGGAGCAGATCTTGTCAGAGTTCCGGCTGAAGGAGGAGGACCTGAAGAAGGTGATGTACCGGATGCAGAAGGAGATGGACCGAGGTCTTAAGCTGGAGACACATGAGGAAGCCTCTGTCAAAATGCTGCCCACCTATGTCCGCTCCACCCCTGAGGGTTCAGGTATGGCATCATTCCTGGTCCCTTGTGTTACTCCCTCCCCAGACCCTGTTGAGCTCCATGCAGAAGGCTGAGCCCACCCCGAGCCCATCACCTTGTCCCCCTCTCCCCCATCACCTTGTCCCGCCCTCCCCGGCTTTGCAGAGGTGGGAGATTTCCTGTCGCTGGACCTGGGTGGCACCAATTTCCGTGTGATGCTGGTGAAGGTGGGTGAGGGGGAAGAGGGGCAGTGGAAGGTGAAGACGAAGCACCAAATGTATTCCATCCCAGAGGACGCCATGACTGGGACGGCCGAGATGGTGAGTGGGGCACACAGGGCATCCCGTCCCTTCCCAGTCCCTGTCAATGTGCGTGTTCCAGTGAGGACACTGGAGGGGACACTCTTCATCCCTCCCATCAGCAGAAAGCAGGGGGTGGCCAGGCCTGGGGAACCCACGGTGGGGACGGGACAGTGTCGGTCTGTGTGCGGTGGGAGGGTGGTAACAGCCCCTGGCAAAGGCTGGGCCTCCTGTCTTCCAGCTCTTCGACTACATATCCGAGTGCATCTCTGATTTCCTGGACAAGCACCAGATGAAGCACAAAAAGCTGCCCCTGGGTTTCACCTTCTCCTTCCCTGTGCGGCACGAGGACATTGACAAGGTGAGGGGGTGGCTAGGCAGCACAAGGGCTCGGGGGTCCCCGAATACCAGCTACATCCACAGCCCCATTTTGGTCTGACTCCCATTCCAGGGCATCCTCCTGAACTGGACCAAGGGCTTCAAAGCTTCCGGCGCAGAAGGGAACAACGTGGTGGGGCTGCTGAGGGACGCCATCAAACGGCGAGGGGTGAGAGGGTCGGCTGTGCTGGTACCACCACGGTGGGGGGACCCCGGCGCTCCTGGCTGTCCCTGCGATGGGCTCACTGAAGCCCAGCTTTGCCTGCAACAGGGCTGCTGGAGCCTGGTGTGTCCCCAGGAAGGGACCACTGGAGCCCCGTTATCCCCATGATGGGGCCACTGGAGCCTGGTGTGTCCCCAGGAAGGGCCATTCCATGCGTGTGCGCACATGTGCAACACATGCCCACATCCTCACCCTTGGGGACCCTCTACCCCAGACCTGCCTGCTGCAGGACAGCCCAACCCCCTGTGAGCCTCCAATGGTCCCTGTCCTGTCCCCAGGACTTCGAGATGGACGTGGTGGCGATGGTGAATGACACAATGATCTCCTGCTACTATGAAGATCACCGGTGCGAGGTTGGGATGATTGTGGGTAAGACGCCCCTTCTGCAGGGACACACGGCCAAGGAAGGGGGACCATCCCCCAGCCCTGCTCCCCTGCTGCTCCCCCCATCCCTTTGGAGGGGCACACCAAGGACAAGGGGGTGGCAATGGCACCCTGCTGAGGCCTCCGGAGGTTGGGACACTCGATGGCATTGTCTGTCCCCAGCACGGTGGTGGGAGTGCCTCAGGAGTAGAAAGGGGGTAGTCACCATAACAGGGCTGGTCCCCATAGCACAGCCCTCCCCCCAGGCTGCTGGTGGCTGTGACACCTCACCGTGGGAGACCCATGACAGGTGGCTGGTGTCAGGGAGCTGGGTGGTGGGGATGGGTTTGAACCCTGCAGGGAGCAGCCCCCCGCCTCTCCCAGCCCCTTGCTATCTTTAGTGCCATCAGCCATGTGCCATCTGGGCTCCGCGTCCCCTCGCCTGGGTAAACACGCGCTGGGATGTTTATCAGCTCCTTGGGGCCGGGCTGGCCTCAGCACAGGACCTGGAGCCCCTGGGACCCTGCTGTGGGGACAAGGGGCCAGCCAGGGCTGTGGGGGCGCAGGGGGGGCAGGATGACCATCCCTGTCACCGCAGGATGGGGACATGCAGCTCCGAGCACGAGCCCCCAGCCACGATCTCGGTCACCGAGTCCCAGTGCTCATGGAGCAGCAGGGGCCAGCTGTTCCATTTCTTTACTCTGAAATGAGGTCTAGCATGGAAACATGAAATTGTTTGGGTTGGAAAAGCCTCTGAGGTCATCAAGTCCAACCGTTCCCCCAGCACTGCCAAGGCCACCACTAACTCATGTCCCCAAGTGCCACATCCACAAGTCAGTTAAATCTCCCCAGGAATGGGGATTCTACCACTGCCCTGGGCAGCTGTACCAGGGCCAGAGAGGCCTTTCCATGAAGAAATTGTCCAAATGTAAACCTCCCCATGTGCAACTTGAGGCCATTTCCTTTTTATCCTTGGAGCAACTTGGTCTAGTGGAAGGTGTCCCTGCCCATGGCAGGGAGTGGAACAAGATGAGCTTTAAGGACTCTTTGAACCTATACCATCCCATGGTTCTATGATTTGATGAGTCTGTTGCATCCCAATGCTGGGTGGAATAGGGATAGAGATTTGGGACCTATGTAGTAAGTTCCCAACCATCCTTGGTTCCAGCTTTCATGAAATCATAGAATGGTTTGGGTTGGAAGGTACCTTAAGGATCATCAAGTTCCCCGCCATGGGCAGGGACACCTTCCACTAGACCAGGTTGCTCCAAGCCCCTTCCCACCTGGCCTTGAACACTTCCAGAAATGGGGCAGCCAGAGCTTTTCTGAGAAACATCACCTGCCACCCTCACAGAGAAGAATTTCTCTGCAATGTCCCATATAAATCTTCCCTCTTTTAGTCTAAAACCTTTCTCCCATGTCCTGTCACCTCTGGAGCCAGCCCTGAAGTAGTTGTAGACCATGGTGCCACATCACCAGGCTGAGGAATGTCCCTCACAGGTTCAGGAATGACTCCACGCAGGTCCCAACCCCCATCCTGGCACATCTCTGGACCTTCTCCAGTTCCCTCCCATTGCTCCAGAAGACTATCCCAGCTTTATGTCAGTTGGGATGGGAGGGCCGTGGTGAGGGGGTCACTGTTCCCCTGCCACTGGCCCTGTCCCCGGTTCCTGGCAGGGACAGGCTGTAACGCCTGCTACATGGAGGAGATGCACAACGTGGAGCTGGTCGAGGGCGATGAGGGGCGAATGTGTGTGAACACAGAGTGGGGGGCCTTCGGCGCCTCGGGGGAGCTGGATGAGTTCCTCCTGGAGTACGACCGCGTGGTGGACGAGACCTCCCTTAACCCCGGTCAGCAACTGTAAGGAATAGGAGAGATCCAGTTCCTCTGGGTGTCCCCCCTGACCCCCTGCCACGCTGGGCTCAGCCCCCCGGCACGGAGGTCCTTTGCCCCAGGCTGTGCCCACGTGCAGGGACACAGCCGGCAAGGAGGGGGGAAGGAAAGAGGGGGTGCCGCGCGATGTGGCCCCCCAGATCCCAGCCTTGACACCGCCCCTTTGCCTGTGTCCCCCCCCAGGTACGAGAAGATCATTGGGGGAAAGTACATGGGGGAGATAGTGCGGCTGGTGCTGTTGAAGCTGGTGGATGAGAACCTGCTCTTCAATGGGGAGGCCTCTGAGAAGCTCAAGACCCGCGGGACCTTCGAGACACGCTTCATGTCCCAGATCGAGAGGTGCGAGGCTGGGGAGCGGCACCCCCAAACCGGCCTGCCAGGCTGCACCGTGCTGGGGGTCTGTGCTGCCAGTCCACACGGCTTCAGGTGCTGTCAGTCTGTACCAGGCTGTCCCACGTGGGGATCCCTCTGTTCCACCACACCATACCAGTCTGCTCTGTCTGCTTCATATTGGGGTCCCTTATCCCATCACCCCACAGCAGCCTGCTCTGACTGTGCATGTTGAGGTCCCTTGTCCCATCAGCCCACATCAGGGTGGCCCACATCCAGGTCCCTCTGTCCCATCACCCCACACCAACCTGTTCCGACTGACCCAATTGGGGTTCCCCATCCTGACACCCCATACAACTGCCTCATAATGGGTTTTCCCCCAACATTCCCCACTGACCCCCACTCTCCCCTCACCCCAGCGACTCCGACGACCGCAAGCAAATCTACAACATCCTGTCAGGCTTCGAGCTGCTGCCATCACGGACAGACTGCGAGATCGTGCGCCGGGTGTGCGAGAGCGTGTCCACGCGCGCCGCCCAGATGTGCTCGGCTGGGCTGGCCGGCGTCATCAACCGCATGCGCGAGAGCCGCAGCCAGGACACCCTCAAGATCACCGTCGGCGTTGACGGCTCCGTCTACAAGCTCCATCCCAGGTGGGGATCCCCAGGGCCTTCCTGCCATCCTCCTCCTTCAGCCCCCATTTGTGACCCTGTTTCTGACCCCGTTTTCCCACTCTCCAGCTTCAAGGACCACTTCCACGCCACAGTGCGGCAGCTGACACCCGGCTGCGACATCACTTTCATCCAGTCAGAGGAGGGCAGCGGGCGCGGGGCCGCCCTCATCTCGGCCGTGGCCTGCAAGATGGCCTGTATGATGGGGCAGTGAGCCGGACTCGGGGGGCGGTGGGGGGCCAGTGGTCCCGCTCGGAGCGCTGTGGGAGCAGACACAGGTGCAGAAAAGAGGTGGCTCCAGCCCCCCAATAAACGGGGTATGTGTGGACTTCTCTGGGGCCGTTTGGGCCAGCACTCCTTGTGTCCCCCTGTGCTGGCAGGGAGACCCACATGGGGCTGCCCCACATGTATGGGGCAGCCGAGGCGCTTCCCATCCCTTCGCCCCCCTACATCCTTACCCAGCTGCAGCGAGGGGGCTCTGACACACCCAGCTCCTTTGCTGGGGGAGAGCCCCCCAGGGAGATTGGCTTAGAGATAAGGGGCTATTTATGGGTACTTGGGGGTTGGGGTGGAAGAGCCCCCCACCAGTGAGCCCTGGGGTGCAGAGACTGACCAGAGCGCACCAGAGCTGGGCCAGTTGCAAGGGTGAGGGGTGCGTTTTGGGGGGATCCCCTCCAGCCATGTCCCCACAACAGGATGGGGAGTGGGGCACTCAGACCCCCCAAACTGGGCATAACAAGGCCAAATCCTGCTTCCACCAGCAGTAGCACCCCAAAACCCTGTGGGTCCCAGCCCACCCTGAACAGAGGGGCACACAGGTGCCCTCCGGGGCTTTTCCATGCTCCAGGGTACCACTGCTCAGTCCCTTCCCGATTTAGCTTGGGGCAATAAGGGGGGGGATAAAAATCAGGGTCCAAGGTAGGGTGGTAGGGTTCCCTGAAAGGTCTGGGGCACCCCAGAGATGCAAGTTCACCAAGGGTTTGGGGCAGTGTTAGGTCCCCTCTGAGGGTATGGAGCACCCCAGGGTGTTGGGGTCCTCCTGGGATACCCAAGGGTATTGGGATCCCTTTGGGGGTTTGGGGCACCTCATGGTCTGTGACTCAGGGTATTGGGGCCAGCCCTGGGTGTCAGGCCACCCCATGTTATAGACCATCTTGGGGGCCCGGGGACACCATGGAATATTTGGAGCCACCTCAGGGGTCTCTCCCATGCCACCTTGGGCAATAGGGGCACCCCAGGATGTAGGGACATTTCAGCGTGTTGGTGTCACCCTTGGGCATCTGGGGCCACCTGGGGGGGGCTGGGACACCACGGGGTGTGGGGCCAAAGCAGGGGTCTGGGGCTACTGTGGGGTCTTGGTGTTCCCCCAAAGCAGAGGGTCACCCCAGGGCTGCGGGGGCACCCTGGAGGGCTGGGGACACTGGGGACACTGGGGGAGTCTGCGTCACCCCAAGGGACAAGGCCCCCCCAGCTGTGCCACCCCTGAAGCCTCCAGACCCACAGGTGGCACTGGGATCCCCACAACCCATTGGAGGAGGGAAGGGGATCCCTCTGCTCTGATTGGCTGCAGCCCTCAGCCAGCAGGATTCCCCGTGATTTGGTTGGCTGCAGCCAGCAGCAGCTCAGGCTTCCTGTGTTCATTGGCCATGGCCAAAAGTGGATTCCCTGTGCTCTGATTGGCTGGGGCTGATGAAGGGATTCCCTGTGCTCGGTGGGGACAGTGCCAGTGCCACATGTTGGGGACAGTGAGGATGATCCCAAGCTAGTGGCAGTGCCAGTGGCGAGCTGGTGCCAGTGCCAGTGCCAAGTGTGTGAACAGATGCAGTGCCAGGCATGGGGCCGTGCTGGTGCCCAGGGAGGGGACAGTGACAGCTGGGGCCACTCAAGTGTGCAGAGGGAACTGCTTGCTACACCCCCCAAGGGACACCCATGCGACTGCTGGCACCTCCAGTGTCCCCTCTGCCCTGCTGGTGCCGGGCCAGGGCCAGTACCAGGTGCGTGCCATGTGCCCTTGTCACCAAGAACCCCTGGGGCAGAAAAATGTGAGACACACAGCCAGAGGAGGGACTTTATTGTGGGGGTGGGGGTGTCGGGGCTGGGGGGCATCAGGGGCTGGGGGGACATTGGGGTTCGTGGGGCACTTGGGGCTGCACCCTGTGGAGACAGGAAAGAGCAGGGAGTGAGTTGGGGGCCAGTGGAAGCAGCTCCTCCAGCCCTCCCCCTGCTCCAGGACACATTCTGGGGTGCTCTAGCTCACTCCCATCCTACAGGGGGGCAGCAGAGAAGGCACAGGACCTCCAACCACTCCCCAGGCAGGTGTGGGGTGCAGGGTGTGGGGTACAAAGTGTGGGATTCAGGGTGGGGGATGTGGGATCAGGATCAGGATATGGGGTGCAGGACACAGAGTGCAGGATCAGGGTGTGGGGTGCAGGATACAGGGTACAAGACACAGGGTGTGGGAACGGGATATGGGGTGCAGGATCGGGATGCGGAGTGCAGGACATGGGGTGCAGAATCAGGATACAGGGTGTAGGATCAGGGGGGTGTAGGATCAGGATGTGAGGTGCAGGATCAGGGTGTGGGGTGCAGGATCAGGGTGTGGGGTGCAGAATCAGGACATGGGGTGAAGGACATGGGCTGTAGGATCAGGGTACAGGCGGGCACTGACCATGCTCAGGCCTTGCAGATGCCCATGGTGGTGCAGATGTCCCGGGGCGTGTCCCCGTTCTGCAGCCCCTGGCTGATCTGGTCCTGGTACTGGCTCACCAGCTTCTGGCACTGCCTGCCCAGGAACCGGCCCAGCAACCGGCAGCCCTTCTTCAGCGCCGCTGTCACTGCAGCCTGCCATGGCCACGTGGGTCAGGGGGCCGTGGGCAGATGGCCCCTGCCCCAGCCCTCCAGGCCCCTGTCACCCCTCACCTCGTCAGGGTCATCACCCGCCAGCGTCTGTATCTTCTTCAGTGCCTTGGTGCACAGGCTGCACTTAATCCTCCGGCCCCGCCCCATGTCGTCCCTGTTGGCCTCATCCCCCTGTGGGGACACGCAGACCGTCAGGGCTGCCCGGACCCCGGGGTGGCCCTGGCAGGAGTGGGGGGTGGGTGCTCACCAGGGCCAGGCTGTCCCAGAGGTCCTGGCGCTGCCGCTCCTGGCTGCAGCGTGTGGCCATGGCTGTGTCCTGGCACCGGGACGTGGGGTCACCCTGGCAGGGCAGGGGAGCCACAGCCTGTGCCGCTGCACAGGTACAGAACAGTGAGTGTGGCCACGGGCTGGGGGCCTGTCACTGAGCTCCCCGAGGCCCCCGAGGGTGCCCAGAACTCTGAACCACCAGTCCCAGGTGCTTAGCACCATCCTGACCACCCCTCCTGCCTGTCCACTCGTCCTCTCTCCCCCATCCCTGGATGCCTGTCCCCATGCCGACCCCATCCCTGCCACCCCCAGGTCCCCACGCAGACCCTAGTCCCCCAGGAGCAGCCATCCAGGCTGTCATTCCCGCTGTCCTCAGGTGTCCCCTGTCCCTCCACCCGGGGGTGACCATCCCCCGTGAAAGGCAGAAGGGTCCCCGTTACCTCCGACCGCCACCAGCACCAAAAGAAGGGTCGAGCTTTTGGCAGCCATGTCGAACTGCTGAGGGGGTGGCAGTGGGTGACAGTGGGTGACAGCCTGTGTCCTGAACACCTTTTATAGCGGGGCCATGGGCTGCAGGGGCGGGGGGGCCAAAACCCCAAACCCCCTTAAAACAGAGCATCTCTGTTCCCCAGAGCCCTTCCTGCCTCACACCTCCGCCCCTGCAGGAAGGGGACACGGGGGGGCCCAGGGGGGATTCGGGGTAACACGGGGGGGTCTGGGGGGAACACGGGGGGCTCAGGGGCCCCCACCCCGCCAGCTGCAGGAGCAGGGGCGCTGCGGGGCTGTGCGGGGACACACGAGGGTATCCCGTGAGCCCCCAAAGTGTGGGGCAGAGGGGTGTGGCCAGACTCCCGTGGGCTCCATCCCAGGGTCCCCTTCGTCTCGTCCCGGGCTCTGACTGGGGAGTCCCGGGGCTTGGGCTCAGTGTCCCCCCGGGCTCAGTCTGGCGTCCCCTGTGGGGGTCGGTCCTGCTGTCCCTGCCACCGATGGTCCCGGTGCCCCCGCGAGTCCGCCCCCCCCACGGTTGCCATGGCGATAGCAGACGTCACTTCCTCCATGTGGTCACGCTATTTCCGGGTTTGGGGCGTTCGCGCCTTTTCCCGGCCCCGCCCCCCCATGGCGGGTCCCGGTGCCGGCGGCGACCCCCGACCCTTGACTTCTGACCTCTGACCCCGTACGTGCACGGCGGGACCCCCCGTTTGGGGGCCCGGGGGACCCTGGTTAGGGAGGTTGGTTCGGGTGGCTGGGGGGGGCTGTGGCGTCGTCGGGGGGTCCCTGGTGCCAGGGACGTGTGCGGGGGGGTCGCAGTGCCGCGGCCGGGGGTCGTGCCAGGAGGAGTATGTTCGGAGTTGTCTTGGCGGAGCACTGGTACCGGAGGGGCCCTGGAGCCACGGAGGGCCCTGGGGGGCTCTTTGTGCCCGGGAGAGTGTGTAGGGGCTGTCCTGGGGGGCGCTGGTGCCAGGGGGTGTCCCGGGGGCTGTGCAGCGCTCAGGATCCATTTGGGGGGGGGAGGCGGGGCGGCTCCAGGGGCCAGGGTGCATTTGGAGGGGGCTTCAGGTGTCTTGCTGCGGGGGTGTGGATTTTAGGAGGAGGTGGTATGGTCCTGGCACGGGGATGAGTTTGGGGATGCCCTGGGGAGGGAAGGAAGGGAGGCTGAAGGGGTGCAATGTGTGGAGGGAGGGTCAGACGAGGACATGGTTTGTGTTTTGGGGGGTGGGGGAGCCTGTGGTGTCTTGTGGTGACGGTGATCCCAAATTCACCCCGTTTGTTTTCTAGAGGTGCCGTTAGACCCCCGTGGACTCCAGGCCATGTTCTCAGAGCGGGTGGCGCCCACGGCGCAGGGGCTGCTGGGCCCCCCCTCAGCCGAGCCCCCCACGTTCCCCAGGGTGCCAGTGCTGGGCTACTCGGACTGCTCAGGGCCGTTCCGGCCGGGCGAGCGCAGCTTCGGCCGCCAGTACGCGCACGTGTACGCCGTGCGCCTCGCCGGCATGCGCCCAACGCTGGAGCGCCGCGCGCGGGGCCGCTGGGGTGAGCTGGGGCACCCTGCTGGTCGGCACCCTGCCCAGGAAACACACCGGGGGGCTGCAGCACATCCAGGGAAGGGAACAGAGCTGGGAAGGGGCTGGAGCAGCAGGAGCAGCTGAGGGAGGGGAGCTGGGAGGGCTCAGCCTGGAGAAAAGGAGGCTCAGAGGGGACTTTCTGGCTCTGCAACTCCCTGACAGGAGGGGGGAGCCAGGGGGGGTTGGGCTCTGCTCCCAGGGAACAAGGGACAGGAGGAGAGGAAACAGCCTCAAGCTGTGCCAGGGGAGGGTCAGGTTGGATACTGGGGAAATTCCTTCCTGGAAAGGGCTGTCCAGCCCTGGCACAGCTGCCCAGGGCAGGGGTGGAGTCTCCATCCCTGGGGGGATTTAACTGACTTGGGGATGTGGCACTTGGGGACATGGGTGGCCTTGGCAAAAAAGCACCTGTGGAGCTGTATTAGGATTTTACCTCCAGTTTACCAGATTTAAATCTGAGTCCAAAAGTGCATGAGTGTTCTCATCCTCAGGCTGGATGTACCCTGCAGGCATCCCAGACTGGGTGGGGAATCCATCCCTGATGGAGGGGAGGGAGATCAATCCCTCTGAGGGAATCCATCCCTGCCAGGGAAAATCCATCCTTGTGGGGGTGAAGCAGCCATCCCTGCAGTGGGGGAGATCCATCCCTGCCAGGTTGGGATCCACCTGCAACCTTCCTGCAATGTGAGAAGCCCCAGTTTGCCCAGTTGTCCCAGTCTCCAGCAGCGTTTTACACTCTTGGCAGGGAATGTGTTGGCAGAGCCCACTCCCAACAGCTCAGCCCCCCAGCTCTGGGATGCACTGCAATGATGGGATCATCCAGGGACTTCCTGCTGCAGCTCCCACCTGGAGTTCTGACCTTGGGACGAACTGCCTTCCCCATCAGAGATAGAAGGGAATGTGTGCAGGGGGGCCCTGACTCTTTTTCGGGCACTTTTGGGAGCAGGAGTTGAGTGTGAGGTTTGTCTGGGTGGGGGTGGGGGACCCTGGCCAGGAAGTGGGGTGCAGCTGGGTGAGAAGGGCTGGTTTTGCCAGGGGGGCCATTTCCTGGCCCGAGAGGGCTTGTGGTCCGTGGGTGGGACCCTTGCACTCAGAGTTTCCATCCACGGGATGAAGCAATGCCGCGGCTCTGCCCCCCCTCGCCCCCCTGGCCTGGGCACGTCTGAGATCAAATTTCCCTCAGCTTTGCCCTTCTATGGGCAAAAACCCTTTTGGTGGAGGCTTTTGGGCCGGACTCCTGTTCTCCTGCTCTCTCCATCCCCGTGGAGCCAAGGGGAGGCAAAGCCAGCACTGGTCCCACAGCAGATATCATTCCTTGGCCTTTGCCAAGTGTGACAGGACCCAGGGGTTTGTAAAGTTCCCACTCCCACAGTCCTAGGATGGGACCAGATTTCGGGTGTTTGTCTCCAAGCAGGAAGCGCCTGCAAGCAAAAATCAGGAGAGCACAGCCTCCCTCCCCCTGAATACACATTTTGAGGGGTCCAAGCCAAGAAGAAGAAAGTTCCAATGGGATTGATTTTGTTCTAACTCAGAGTGTTTGCATTCCTGAACTCGGGAATCCATGTTTCCAACCTGGGGTGCCAGGGTTGGTAGCATGGTGCTCTCCCCAGGACAGGAGTCATGTTCAGCAGCATGTGATGGGCAAAGGGAGATTTCTGGGAGGGGAAATGTCACCCAGAAAGGATGGGGAGCCACCACAGGCAGTGTTGTTTTGGGAGAGGAGCCCAGGAGCTGGTCCCCCCTGTCCAGGGCCCAAGGCTTGAGATGGGCTTCACAGGCTGGTTTAAACTGGAAATGACAGTCCCACAGCTACATACCAGATGGGGCTGGGACACCTCTGGGCATCTGGGAGTGGAGTGAGAAATTTTGGTCTCAGTTTGTGGTGAGGGAGATTTTTGCTCCTCAGCTACAGAGCTCCTTGCAGTTCCCAAGGCTTGTGCTGGTTCCCCCAGCCCAGATCCCCTGTGGATCCCTGCCTAAAGCCCAAGGTCCTGTAAGCATGCCAGGATCTTCCCTGGCTGTGATGGGGATCCTGAATTCCAGCAGGTATCTGACGTGGAGGATCTGGCCCTGGCAGAGGTCAGGTTTGGGAGTGATGAGTGATCTGCCTGTCAGCTCCAAGTAGGATGTTTGGATCATGTCCTGGATGGGGAGCAGGAACATCAGCCCCTCCATGCCCAAGGGCAGGAGCATCACGTCCTGGACCCTTCCTGGGCAGAGCTGTTCCTGGGACCTGAACACACTGTCCCAAGGAGCTGTGGGTCTCCCAGCCCCTGTCACTACCCAACTTTCCCCTCCATTGCAGAGGAAATGCCTGCAGGCTCTGGAATGCTCCTTGGCCCCATCTGGCCCACACATGTCCTCTCGGCACTGTGCCTCGAGGAAAATCAGGAGGCTTCCCAACATTCCCGCTGCTTCTCACTGGCCTCGGCGCTGGGGCCGTTCCAGCTGCTCCCCTCAGCCCTGTGCTGTGCCCCCATCACCCCGAGGCCACTGACCCCCATTGCTCCGCAGGGAATGATGCCGTGCTGCGGAAGCTGTCCGAGCTGCAGGTGGGCGAGAAGTGCTGCGTGGTGGGGACTCTCTTCAAGGCCATGCAGCTCCAGCCCTCCATCCTGCAGGAGATCAGCGAGGAGGTAATGGAGGGACACTCCCCTGATGCACCCCCTCCACCTCCCCCCTACAGCTCAGGGGATGTGCCAGCGCATGTGGGAGCTCGTGGCTTCCCTGTGCTCACTGTGGCCAGGGAACTGGCAGGGATTACAGCTGGGTAGCTGGGCTGTGCCTGCTGTGTCCCTGGATGCCAGCTTGGTGGCATTTCTTGGTGCCAGCATGTTTTTGTGTGTGGTGCTTATGGAATCATGGAATGGTTTGGGTTGGGAGAGACCTTAAAGCTCATCCAAGGGCAGGAACACCTTTCACTAGACCAGGTTGCTCTGAACCCCATCCAGCCTGGCCTGGAACACTTCCAGGGATGGGGCATCCACAGCTTTTCTCGGCAGCCTGTGCCAATGTCTCACCATCCTCACAAGGAAGAATTCCTTGCCCATATCTAATCCAAATCCACCCTTTGTCCATCTGAAGCTGTTTCCCCCTGTTTGCCACCACCCTCACTCAGTGATGATTTTCCAACCCTCGGAGAGTTTGGATCCAAGGGGTTGGTAACACAACCCCCTTTCCCTGCCAACAGGGGAGGGGGATGAGGGGGGTGTCAGGGAAGCTCTGGCATCCCTATGCAGTGCCAGGGGCCCGTCTCCTCCCAGCCAGCTCACGTTGGGAAGTTTAAAGCTCCCACCGCCCATCTGAGCTGCTTCCTCCTTGGATGGGGCTCACGTTCAGGACACTGCAGGGAAGCACTGAGTGAAACCTTTCCATCTGGGGGGACTCCAGCTGCCAGGGCCTCCGGCTGGGGTGTTGGCCATGCTGGTGGGGGGACCTGGGGCAGGAAAAGGTCCCTGGGGGCCACTGGTTCTCGCTGAGGCTGTCAGAGCTGTCCCTGCCCACCCTGCAGCACAACCTGGTGCCTCAGCCGCCCCTGCCCAAGTACATCCAGCCCTCAGACGAGCTGATCCTGGAGGATGAGCTGCAGCGGATTAAGCTGGAAGGAGCCATCGATGTGCAGAGGCTGGTGACAGGTAAGGGCCAGCGGTGGCTCCACAGTGGGACCCACCCCACGGGTGCTGACCAGGGCTGACTGCCCACTCTGCCCCAGGGACCATCGTGGCCGTGTACGGCTCCGAGCAGGACGATGGCAGGTTCCTGGTAGAGGATCACTGCTTCGCTGACCTGCCACCACCCCTGCCCTGGAATGGGCCCACCTCTGACCGGTGAGTCAGCAGGAGCAGGGCTGGCACTGTGTCCCTGCCCTGCCAAGAGGGCTGGTGGAGGGGGTTGTTCCCTCTGCCCCGGCTCTGTGATGCCCCTTGGTTTGGGAGCACAGCACGCTGCCCAAGCCTCTCCATCCATCCAGGTTTGTGCTGCTG